ACAGAAGAAATCAACTAATCGTTTATTTCTAGCAAATTCAAATTAAGGCAACAATTAACTTTTAAATTCCAGTCACTAGAACATTCCAGAATTCGCTAGAATCTAGTGCGTTCGGTTTCACGGTTATAACATTATCCCCTTCTTAGTTCTGTTCGTCCCGAACAGCTTTCGTTCCGGTGTCCGCATGGTACGGAGCCAGTCTATCCTAATGAACGATCTTCATTCTTGCTCTCGGCTTCCGATATTCCTGAATACGATAGATGACGTCATTCAAGCGGGTGATGACTTGATAAGGTCCTTTCCACTCTCGCTGGAGCTTTGGAGAACGTCCTTTCTTTCGCTGTGGGTTGTACAGCCAAACTAACTCGTCGACAGCAAAACCGCCACTGCTTCCTTTCAAGTCGTATCTGGTTTTGGCCGCCTCCGTGTTTTTCATAATTTTAAGGCGTACGTAACGGTGGATATGGTTTAATCGCTGTCGAAGATTATCCACGTATTCTGTTAATGGTTGGTGTGGTTCAGGTAGTACGCCATATTTCACATCAGCTGGAGTTCTTAAGGTAGTCCCAAACAGAACTTTTGATGGCGTTTCTCCAGTAGTTGTGTGGATAGCACTCCGGTATGCCGTAAGAAACAATGGTATATGACGATCCAAATCCCGTTGATTTTTGTCGACTACTTTAGCCAGATGTTCAATCAGGGTTTTGTTAAATCGTTCCACCATACCGTCAGACTGTGGGTGAAGAGGTGTCGTTCGAGTTTTGTTTATACCCAGCAGCTTGCACATTTCACCAAACAGTTGTGACTCAAAATTTCGACCTTGATCTGAGTGGAGTTCCAATGGGACACCATATCGACTAATCCAATTGAGTATAATTTCCTCAGCGACGGTACATGCTTCTTGGTTGGGTATTGGAAACACCTCAGGCCATTTGCTGAAATAGTCCGCTACAACCAGAATGTAACGGTTTCCATAATCTGATACCGGAAAGGGTCCCGCAATATCTATAGCAATCCGTTTAAAGGGGAAAAGGGGACACCAACATTGTAGATTTGCATTGCTCCTTTTAGCCTTCTTTTGGGTCCTTTGACTGAAGCGCATGTGTTACATTTTCGACACCAGCTCTCTACATCTTCTCTAACGTGAAGCCAGTAGAATCCTTCTCGTATTTTGTCAAGGGTCTTGTTCACTCCTAAATGTCCCCCAGAAGGACCGCCCTGCATTTCATCAAGGATTTCGGTCGTTCTACTTCTTGGTATTACAACTTGCATGTGGTGTTTTGATCCATCAGCTGATTCCCATTTTCGTTTCAGCAAATCTCCTTCCAAATACAATGAGTCCCACTGAGCCCAATAACCCTTTAACACGGCACTATATTCTGAGATGCTTTGCCAGTCCGGTCGCTTGCCCTTCTTCTTCCATGTGATCAGACGTTGTAGGTCCTCATCCGCAAACTGTGCATCAGCAAGATCCGTCGGTGTCCAACCGTCATCCGCTGATATTGTTGTTGCTCTTATGTCTTCCGGTTGTATCTTCTCCTCGTGACGACAGCAATATTTGCATCCTGGTGAACATGGTCGACATGAGAGAACATCAGCATTACTATGAGTTGTTCCTTTGCGGTGCACGATCTCGAAGTCGTACATTTGTAAACGCTCCAACCATCGGGCCATCTGTCCTTCAAGATCCTTGAAGTTGAGGAGCCATCTTAACGCTGCATGATCAGTTCGGAGAAGAAATTTCTGTCCATAAAGGTACTTGTGGAAGTGTTTTATTGCATTGACTATTGCTAGTAACTCCTTCCTGGTCACACAATAGTTTCGTTCGGGCTTTGTGAATCCTCTGCTATAATACGCTATCACCTTTTCTTCTCCGTCTATATGCTGTGACAAAACGGCTCCGATTCCGTTGTTACTTGCATCAGTATCTAACACAAACGTCTTGCCACGAACTGCATATGCTAGCAAAGGAGCATCACATAGTTCAACTTTTAACTTTTCAAATGCTGAGTCGCATAGGGTATTCCAGTTGAAAACTCGGTCCTTCTCGGTAAGTTGGTGGAGAGGTCTGGCAACTTTTGCAAAATCCTTTACAAAACGTCGATAGTACGTTGCCAATCCCAGAAAACTGCGCAATTCATTTTTATCCTTTGGAGTTGGCCAGTCTTTCACAATTCCTATCTTGCTGGGATCGGTTCGAACTCCATCTGAAGATACCACATGTCCCAAATAGTTTACTTCTTTAGAAAATAATCTGCACTTTTTAACGTTCAGCTTTAAATTTGCCACCCGAAGTCTTCCGTAAGTTTACGACGTGTTGATCAAATGTTCTTCCTAGAACAATTATGTCGTCTAAATAGACAAGACAGGTTTTCCAGTTAAGACCTTGCAATACACATTCCATCAGTCGCTCGAATGTAGCTGGAGCATTGCACAATCCAAATGGCATGACGATGAATTGCCACAACCCCGATCCTATAGAAAACGCTGTCTTTCGCGATCGTTCTTGTCGATTTCTACTTGCCAGTATCCGCTTTTCAAATCAAGCGTAGAGAACCAACTTGAGCCAGATAGGGTGTCCATGATGTCATCAATCCTCGGTAACGGATAGCTGTCCTTTTTAGTCACATCATTTAACTTCCTATAATCAACGCAAAAACGGGTAGTGCCGTCCTTCTTCTTTACCAAAACAACTGGCGAAATCCAGGGACTTGATGACGGTTCGATGACGCCTTGATTCTGCATTGTCGTTATCATTTCGTTTACTTCTTTTTGTTTTGCTAGAGGAAGACGTCGTGGTACTTGTCGGATCGGTTTCGAATCCTGAGTATTAATTCGGTGAGTTACCAGAGCGGTTTTACCTTGGTCATTGTCACCGGCTGAAAACACGTCTGCAAAATCGGCAATCAACGCCTCGGCTTTTAGACGGTCTTCTTGATACAAATTGAGTTCATCCAGTAGATTTTTGGTAAGTTCTTTGAGTCTACCTTTGTCAGTTGGTAGAACCTTTTCCTGTTGCTCCATATCTAATGATTTCACCAAATTTATTGATTGACAATTACCTATTTCCTCGCCTTTTTTAATTTTAATAGTGTGTTTAGCGGTATTCATTATTCTGACAGGAATAAGAACATTTTTGTTCGCTTCTACCAGGCATTTTCCAATGACCGCGTTCTGTACATTTGTCGTTGAGGTTGGCTTCATCAAATAGAACTGGTGGCCCCCAGGATCGCAATTCAACTTGCCCCATACGATGATTTCAGATGATTGAGGTAGTTCTAAGTCACAATCGACTGTCACTCGAATGCATTTTTCGTCGCTATCCCCCATTATCACTTCTGTATTTCTCCATCTAAGAATGCGTTTTTCTAAGTCAATTTTGAACCCATATTTTGTCAGAAAGTCGACACCTATTATGCATTCGTCGATGATATCCGCGACTAAGAATGAACCTTCGAATAACAAGTCGCCTAGCTGAACAGTACGGAGAATCTTTCCATAGACTGGTGCTGTTCCTTCGGTAGCTGTTCGAAGGATGTATTTGTTAGAAGTTTCTTTCTTCAGATTGTGTACCAAATCAGATCTTAAAATCGATTTTGATGCTCCGGTGTCGACTGTAATTACGCATTCTCGTTGATCAACTTTTCCGTTCAGCTATAGGTCGTTTCGATTTCGATGTAGTCTGGAAACGTTAATTACGGTACTGGGGGCGTCAATTCTACTAGCCAACCTCTGCCCCACAAAGTTGGCTCTTATTAGTTTTCCGCCCCTTCGTTAGAAGGGGCCGATCGTGATACAGGATCATCTTCTCTTTTTTTGCGCCATCTTGTCGCGCAATTTCGGCAGTAGTTATCTTTTAGGCGATGTTTACAATCACGACGTAGATGGCCTTTTTCACCACAAATCCAGCATTGGGGTACACTAAGCTGTTGGGGTTCGCGTTTCACAACCACCTTCTGGCAAGAGCATTCTTCATGTACTTGGCGTAGACGTACGTCACTTTTTGATGCTTGCTTTGCCGATTCAAAAGCGAGATTGTGCGCAACGGCATCCTTGAGTTTTCGTTTATCTGACAAGAGAAGGAATTGCTTGAGTTCCGAATCATGAAGGGCTTTGATAAACGTATCCAGGGCAGTTTCGTCTCTATGCTCGGGGTCTGATGTCGGATACGACAGCAATGTCAACCGTTCGATATCTTGAGCCAGCTGCTGAATGGATTCACCAGATCGTTGCGTTCTGTTTCTAAGCTGAGACCGATAAATCTGGTTCATGTGTTCTTCACCATAACGTAAATCCAACGCGCTAACCAGAACTTCATAGTTGAAGTGGTTCTCCGCCGAAATCGTCTGAAGAACCTCTGCTGCTGAACCTCGCAGAGCCAGTATCAGTGCTGTTGCTCGTTCTTTTCCGTTCCAACAGTTACTAGTTGCCGCTGCTTCGAAATAGGTTTTATAAACGTTCCAGGACATCTCTCCGTCAAATGCTGGTACCTTCAAAGTTCTTCCGGATGCGTGATCTAACGGCATGGCCATTTTTTTGGATTGCTCCAATTCTCGCTTCAATTTGTCTATCTTGTGATCTACCTCAACGGTCTGACGATCAAGTTTCTGCTCGATCATTTCTATTCTTGTTGACTGTTCTTCAATCTGTTCTGCCACTTCCAATTTTACGTGTTTTAGCTTGTCCTTGATCTGTTTTAACTCCTCTGTCTGTCGTTCGGACTGTTCCTTGATCTGTTGTTTAAACTCTTCTGTTCGGACCGTCGTTCGGACTGTTCTTTGATCTGTTTTAACTCCTCTGTCTGTCGTTCGGACTGTTCTTTGATCTGTTCGGACTGTTCCTTGATCTGTTGTTTTAACTCTTCTGTCTGTCGTTCGGACTGTCGTTCGAACTGTTCTTTGATCTGTTTTAACACCTCTGTCTGTCGTTCGGACTGTTGTTTTATTTCAGTTGACATACTAAGCAGAAGTTCCATCATTTTAGCGGTTGTAAACGTGCCTGTGCTAATTTCATTGTCTTCGTCAGCACCATCAAACTTGAATTCGTCTGGGTTCTTACCTTCGTCAATGAGAGCTTCTCTCAGACGTGCTACTAGTACTTCTTTGTTGCCACTTGTGACAAGGCTTCGTTTCTGTAGTTCTTCTCGTAGCTGAACTACGTTCAAACCACACAGTTTTGACATCGTGTTCTTTTTCTATGAGTAGTAATTCGCTAGTCGAAGATCCCACTTCTGACACCAATGTTATAATACTCGCTGTCGTAACCGATTTACGATGCGACGGGTTCAAATCTTCGATTGAATAAAATACTCCAAACAGTTATTCGTTATTAAACTTTATTTACAGAAGAAATCAACTAATCGTTTATTTCTAGCAAATTCAAATTAACGCAACAATTAACTTTTAAATTGTTTAAAATCTATCGCTATGACAACGTCAACAAACAAATCAAATATAGCTTTAAATAATTCACCGAATCGCTATTCACTAAATAACAAAATCACGAATTTCACTAATCACAAATCTTCTTGCGACGTGCGCTTATATACTCTTCGCAAGCGTCATTTCTAGATTCTTCCAGATGGTCCGATTCTAGCATACTCTAGAATGCTCCAGTCACTAGAACAATCCAGAATACGCTAGAATCTAGTGCGTTCGGTATCACGGTTATAACAATATATACGCGCGTCACTGAGAGCTATACTTGAAAAAGACTAGACTGACGCATGAACAGAAAATGCATGCACGTAAACAAGTATACAAGATTATTATGCAAGAATATTATTTAAATGTATGTTTATATATAAATATATATAAATATAAATATATATATATATATATATATATATATATATATATATATATATATATATATATATATATATATATAGCCCGTATCGGTTCTGTATATAAGCAATATGAGATATCAACACACACACATCACAAACACACACACACTCACATATATTTATATATATAATATATATATATATATATATATATATATACGCACACACTCACACACACACTTACATACATGTATACGCAAACACACACGCGCGCACACATATACAAATATATAGATAGACAAAACATGCAACGTCAACATAGAGAGGTCGACTGGTACGGTGGTTCTCTAATGGGAACGCTCTTTTCAATATGAACCAACAAGCAATGTATTACAATATACTATATATACTGACACACACATGCTTATGTATAAAAATCCATATATATTTACACAAAAATAAAAATCATACCCGCATGCTTGTAATTTCATATTTATTATAAAAGTTGTGTCCCGATTTAAGTAGTCGTAATGTAATGTAATATAATTTTATGAGATTATTAACATTTACAGATGCATGCAATTATAATAAAACTAAATGTTTATTTGCACGCAGATTTGTTTTTGCAAGCTCATGACTACGGAAAATATTCACACACACAACACACGCATACATGCATATGCGTATATACACGCATGTATGTTTATTTTTTTATTTATATTTTTTATAAATTGATTAATTAATTAATTTATTTATTTATACATGCACAGTACTCTTAAAATAAATTAGCAAATTTCTAATTTTTTACTGTTTTTGTTTTTAATCACAGAGCTTTTACCATTAATTTATTTTTAACAAATGACAAGTCAGTTACACACTTCTATACACACTAATATGTTTGTTGGACTACCTTTTTTGTCAATAACTGCCCAAACACGGTTTTGCATGTATGATAACTTTGGTAGCCAGTTGATTAATCATGAAGTCAGAAAAAATTAAACGTTCACTTTATCCAGGACTAGTGTCCAGTCTTATATAGCTTTTTCTGATTAATGCAAGAGCTTTTTCACCGATTTTGTAGTGTTGCATAAAGTTGAATTCTGCATAAAGATCCATTGCTATACAGAAACTACTCCATCAGTTAAAAAAAAGCGTTGGAAATAACACAGTATTACTGTTCCTGTTGCATTGTTTCTCATACGGAGTAGAGTCAACCAGTTCAACAAATGTGGATACAAACAAATCTGGAACATAACCTTTTCAAGATGTTCTGCACAACAAATGGAACATTCAGAAAGAAAGACTTTAAATAATTTTTTTTCTTAAACATACATTACACTTTATCCGTAATTGTTACTACTATTGTTTCATAAAAAACGAAAAACAGACTTGGTGAAAATGTTATTAAGTTAAATCTTTCCGCAAACGGTAAAAGTAATGCTCAGAACGCATCCCAACATCCAATATTGGTTATAAGCTGTCATTATATTTGCACTTATACTCATTATATTTACTGTTTTTTTTATTTATTTGCCGGTTCAAATTGTTGCAAATGACTTTTATTAATTACTACTACATCATAACAAAAATTTAATAGCATTTTTACCCAAGAATTACCGTCCTATCATTCCATTTACATAATCTGTCTGCACCACAGTTTTTTGTTTATTCGTCACAAATTCCTTGTATTTGCAAATTGGTGAGTGCTTACATAAATTGATATAATAGGATTTTAAAACTAAAGGTTATGTTACATAACTTATATATTATATAACTTATACATATTTTAGAAAGTGTATTGAAGATTACAAAATCTACGAAATTCATGTAATTAAAACCAATGCCACTGGTGTAAATGTTGCATTCAAATCAGAATCAAAATATATATATATTACGAAAATTGATGAAAATTACAGCATGATAAATGATTTACGATCAACCGTTAGAAAAATTAAAAAGTTAAATTGGAAGTTAACTAACGCCGAACATGCTGTGATTTTCATCAATAATTGAATTTCTGACAGTCTTAATCCTGTATATATATATTTGCATTATTCAAGTTAAAGTATGTCTTTTTAATTTTTCTTCATAGAAATTTATGGAAATTGCTCAATTTATTGAAAATAGAATTATTATTATTAGAAAAAGTTAATCATGAAAAAATACTTAATAAAACTGTTGTTATCTAAATTCATCATGCAGAGTCCTTATTTCGATTTTTCACAAATCATCTTCAGTGCAGATTTGGTTTATACTGTTTCTTTAGACAAAGCAAAGTGAGTTATTTTTGTTATCTCCTCTATTTTTGTTATTTCCTTGATCTCCATTGTTATTAGAGTCAGTAATAAGACGTCGAGTTGATAATGATGTAATCATTCTTTGTAGGATTTTTATTTGAGGTTTATTGATATCATTTAGAGTAACTGTTCTAATAGATATCAATAAACCCCAAATGTTTTAATATATATCAATAGACCTTAAATTGTTTTTGGAATTAGTATTAAGGCGTCGAGTTGGTAATGAAGTAATCATTCTTTTTTGTATGTTTATTTGGGGTTTATTCGGTAGAATTCATACAATACTGCGCAAAAAAAACTCATTATTATTACCAGTTTTTACAATAATTAAAAAAATACAAAAGAAAATTGTCATTATAAACAAAAGCCATCAGCACCACCACCACCAAACATCCTCATCTCCACAACCATCACTACAATCCCCATCACCATTATTAACATGCAAATGCCAGACACCATTAGCACCACCACCACCAATTATCCTCGTTACCACCACCATCATCATTTTTCTCATCACCATCATTAACATATAATTTTGTCAATATAAATCACTTAAACAAGGTTATGTTGTTTGTTAATTAAAATTGCCTTAAGCTTTTTCTTGAAAATATTCAGTCTTGCATCCAAAATAGTGTTCAAGTTATATTTAGCTATTAAATTATTCCATATTCGCGGACCATTACAGAAAACATTAAAAAACAAAATGTTTGTTTTAGACTTGTTACACTTGATCATATTATGATATCTATTATTTGAAAAAAGTTTGTTGATTTACTTTCAATTAAATTACTTTCAATTAGCTTATTATCTTTAAACCATTTAATGAATATTTGAACACCATTATTAATTTCATTAATGAGTTCATCTATTTTTTTATTACTTTTGAAAACATTGGCATCATCTGCATACATTATATATTTAAAAGTATTTATAGTGTTTGGCAGATCATTTATGTACACGGCAAACAATAATGGACCAAGAATGCTGCCTTGAGGAACTCCAATTCTAATTTTTTGTAGGTTTGAATCCTTTCCATTCCATCTAACAAATTGCGATCTATCATTCAAATAACTTTTTAACAGCATTAAACTTTTCCCTCTTATTTCATAATGTTCCAACTTATTAATTAAGATTTCATGATCAACACAATCAAATACTTTGCTTAAATCCAAAAATACACCAGCCATACCAATATTACGAATTAATTCAATTATGGCCATTTCAGTTGAATGTGTTTTTTGAAACCATATTGATCATTGGAAATGATGTTGTATTTATCAAAAAAAGAAGTTAATCTGTTATGAATAACTTTTTCAAAAATCTTTGAAAAACTAGGAAGCAAAGAGATTGGTCTGAAATTTGAGATCTCATTGTTGTTTTTTTTTGTTTTTTAATTGGCCGCACTTTTGCTATTTTAAATATTTTAGGAAATATACCCTCTACTATTGAAAAATTGATGAGGTGTATAAGGATTGGCATTGTAGATTGAATTGTTGCCAAAATTATTTTAGTAGGAATATTATCATAACCACAAGAGAGTCTTGGCCTCAGTGACTTAATTGCTTGATTGACATCTGAAACTGTTACTTCACTAATGAATGATGAATTCTGCCAGTTAAATACATTTTATAATCGTACGTATCAACAAAATTTTTAGCAAGTTTTGTGGCAACTGAAACATATTGATTATTCAAAGCATTTGCAGGATCGTATACAGCTTGACCATTTATTGTCAACAAAGATTTTCTTGCATCATGTTTACTGCTATCTAACAGTTTATGAAAATATTGTTTTTTAGCATTATTTTTTAATTTTAAAAAAATTTTATTGGCCAATTTGAAATTACTATTGTTGTCATCTGTGGGTGTTTTGAGAAATTTTTTATATAACTGATTTTTTTTTGTTAGAGCTTGTATATATATATATATATATATATATATATATATATTTATTTATTTTCAAGTTTCTTGAATTCAAAACCAAAATTTTTATTTATTATAAGCATAATACTTTATGTTGTTCTATCATGCTTAAAGTAAATAAAAATGATTATGAACTCTAGAAACTTGAGAATGATATATATATATATATATATTATATATATATATATATATATATATAAGTACATATATATATATATATATATATATATGTCAAATATATGTGTATATATATATATATGTATGTATATATGTACACATATATATATATATACACATATATTTGACATTTTTTATTTCATCAAATCGAAACAAAGAAATCAACGAAATGATATCAATGAAAAGAAATGATCTGGAAATACATATATACATACATATATATATATATATATATATATATACATACATATATATATATATATATATATATATGTGTGTGTGTGTGTGTGTATGTGTGTGTGTGTGTGTTTGTGCACGCGCACAACATTTATAAATTAATTGTGATTATTAAATTTTGTTTTAGTTACTTGCATACTTTGTGTAAATAGCTGGAAATCTGTCTTTATTGAACAATTTTCTATTTCTTTTTTAGCTTAGCCAAGCCTAGAGTCCAGTCACCTTGAGTTTTTAATCTATTTGCTTTGGTTTATTCAAAACTTGATATGTTGATAGATTTGTTATTTCGCAGTATAAAAGACACGTATTTTGAAGCAATAACTTTTTGCACCTTCAATTATTATTTACTTCGGATAAAAAAATTCATGACAAAAAAAATAGTGAACATGTAAACAAAACTAAAATGAAAAAATACAATTTTCAACGATCTTTTCATCTCTATGTAAATGTATATTATAATTATATAAACGTAAACATACATCATACGCGGTTGTTTAGATGTAGTAGTCTCCATACCGCACATACTAAATGTATAACATACTGTCCAGTATGCACATAAAAGCAGTCTATGCATATATTTTCAATGCTGATCTTTCTAATCTAATGTATGTATGTATGTATATGTACGTCTAGTTGTCAGTTCTATTTTTGTTTCTAAGCTATTTCTTCAACCAACTGTTTATCCTTAGATTATTATATAAAACACGAAAAAATAGGATAATCGTGAATAAAATATATAACATTGACTTGAGATCAATTAATTATTGAATTCAAAAGGTATACGCTAGAGGTGTTTTGTTTTTCATTTGTTGATTTGTAAACTTTTAAGTCGTTCATTATCGACTGTTTCTTGGTTTGAATCTTAATTTAAAAGAATCTAAACTAAAGTTTATATTGTTATTCTCGTCTGGTTTGGTAATTTAGTTTAGTTTGCGTTTTAATATTACGCTGACACGTTTGGTTAGGCTTTTAGGCCTTAGGCGGAGAAATATAAAAAGAGGTTTACTTACTGACTTTCACTATTTTTATTTATTTCTTTCATTTTTTGGGAATAAAGTTTTATTTTAAAATTAATTAAATGAAAATTTTAAAAACATCTTGAGTTATTTTTTTTAATATTTATATTTTAATTTTATTATAATAATTATAATAGCTTTGGAACATGACATGATAACATATGAAACTGATAACAATAACACAGTAACAACTAATTACTAAATTAATATTTTTAATTTAATTAATATTTAATTTAATCTAAATTATTATTAATTTTAATATAAAATTAACAATAAGAAAGTGGAAATCTTCAAAAGTCTAATTAACGAAAACAGAGTAGATTGTTTATTTTTTTATTTATTAATAATAAAATAATAACCTACAATTTTATAAAAATAAAATTTAATTTAATATTAATTGAACTTCAATAATTAATAGTTAAAATTTAAGTTGATAAGTTTTCATCTTCCAAAATTATTTATTGACAATAATCTCTGAATACAACCAGCCAATTCAATCAAATGGAGGCAGGAAGTCCAAGAATTAAACGTCTCTTGAAAACGTACAAAAAATCATCAGGAATAAGTATGAATGGGCCCAATGATATCAAAGCTGAGGTGGCCACAGTAAAACCATTGAATAGCTCTCCTGATGGTGATTTTTCAATTCTAGATAAGAACAAAAAGGAGTTGATATGTGCTCTGTTAACAAAGAGGGACAGCTGCAGTGCAGAACTTAGTGAAACTCAACTAGAAGATCAAGTTATTGCATGTTTTGACATCGGTGGGGAGAAACGACTTTGTTTGGCTCAGATCATTAGAAACATACTTCCTAATTTTTTCCTCAATGAAATAACGGCAGTGTTCACCAAATTTTATATTCCCAGTGCTGTTTGTAGTAATGCCCAACTGAACATGTTGAAAGAAAAAGATATTATACCAGCCAATGTACTCCACTGTGGTCTAGTAACAAAATCTGATGCTCAAAGATTTTGTAGTGTACTGTTGGGCAGTCGAAAACACCAAAAACATGTTAAATTTAACGACAAAGTAACCACTTTAGAATATAAAAAATCAAAATTAATTCGATTAACGTCATTTAAAGTAATTCACAAATGTTTCGGTGGTTGTCAGGGAGTGTTTTACCAGAAATTGTTTCACTCAGCACTGTCAGAATGCATAGAATGTAGTGAATGCAGGTACATGTTCACCCCTCAAAAATTTGTCACTCATTTCCATTCAACAGCTGAATACAAACAAACATGTCATTGGGGCTTTGATAGTGCCAACTGGAAACATTATTTGAAGCTGGACCCCAGAGAGAATCCTGATTATTATGATGTCTTGATGAATCTCTTTGCTTACAATGGATCCGACAAGGAAATGCTTTATGAGGTTGGTTAGAGGAATTGAGTTTTTATTTATTTTAGAATAAGGATTTTTTTCAGTTAACCATTCATAAATGGTTGACATTTTTTGCTCTTGAATTTCGTTTTATTCATGATATAACAAATAAATGGTGTTTTTAAATAAATCATCATGTCATTCATTAAAAGTAGTACAGGGCAGTGAAGTATATCAGCATTTTTTGTTTGTCTTTTTGTTTGCATTTTTTACTCAGCCTTCTTGATTATATTGATAGTTAATTGATGAACCAGACATAATTACAGTCTCCAATCTTTCACAAATTTAGTCTGCTCAATTTTGATTTTGTGTGATTGGCTATCCAATGAAGTTTGCACATTTCAATGAGTCTTATTTTAGTTAACAACTTGTTTAAAACTTTACTAGATTACTCTAATAGTTTCCATAGTTGATTTCTGTTGACTGATTTCAATGTTTCCTCACAGCCATGTCTTTATGCTTATGTCTTATTAGTTATCTGGATGTTGATGCTACACCACATTCAACCAGTCATGAGTAGTTAGTTAATCTGCACAATCAACTTTAAAACAAGCAAGAGAACTAGCAAGACTTGCAATTCCAATTATCAAAACTTTCATGATTTTAAGATTTTGATGAAAAAGAATATTAATGGGAATGCAGCAACATGGAGAATGACAATAATAATAAAATAATTGCAAAGTAATCAGTAAATGAGAGTTGGGCACAGTGATGCCAATGAATGGATTCCTCTTTTCATGTCTTCACTTAATGGACAATGCCAGACATTAAAAAATCAAATCCAAAAAATTGTTTTGTTCAAACAAAAGTAGATAGATGGACTGGTGGCTTATGTTTCTATCAACCAGTCAGACATCTAGACAGTTGATAGTGCAGGCTAATAGCTGATGCAATGAATGGATCATTTTTCAGTAATTTTTTTTATGACTGCTTGTTTGAGATTGATTCATCATTATTACAATTTGTTGATTATTATGTTTCAGTCATTTGTTTACTTTGTGGTTGTCAGTTGTGATGATGAAATAAATTATTATTATATATTGTGTTAGGTTAACTTTTTACAGAGAAGATAAGTTTGTTGAACAATTTATTATCAAAAGCAACTAAATACTTTTTTCTTTAGGCATAGTAAGTTTTTAATATAAATATATTTTTAATAATTTCTAAAATGGGTTGACATGAATGACCATGCAGATGTCATTTTATGCTAAGTTACTCATATAATTCATTAAGTTAATGATGAAAAGTACATCTACAATACTACTGCTAATGACAAAATTGTTTGGCAGCAGTAGTAGTGATTAATATTTTTTAATTGAAATTAACATCATTGAGTTTGTTTACCTCAAGTTTGTATCACTCAATGGCGAAGTTTATAAATTAGAATTATTCAAGCTCAAGGTCGAGTTAATTTTTCATTTAGAAATGCAAAAAATTATTTTTAAAATAGGGATAAAAAGCTGAGATAATTTTTCACTGAACACATATCAAGTTATTTGAAAAGTTGGTTGTGAATGTTTGTTGCTAATTCCAAGACAGCCAATAGGAATACAATTAAACATTCACATACTGATTTGTTAAATTTTGTTTAAAATTTTTTTTATCTTTCTATTTTTTTTTTAATTTAATTATTCATTTCAATTAGAGGTTAGTTTGTTTGTTCATTTTGTGTTTCTTCGTTTCTTTTTTTTTTATTGTTAGCCATCTTCAACCTTGATGATTTGCATTTTAATTTGTTTTTCCATATTTGGCAAGTTGATGATTGGTGTGGATATGATGGTTATGTAATGCTGTTTTAAGTATGTAGTAGTCTTGAATGAATTTAAACCTGCACATTCTTGCACGCGCGCGCGCGCGCTCACGCACACACACACATGCGCACGCACACGCGCTGCACTATCAATTGCAATCCATATGCTTGCACCTAAATAAACATTCAAGTATTAATAAACTGTTTTTACTTCAATAATAACAACAACAATGTAAGTAAAAATGAAAATACTGTTCTACTTCCAATTATTTAGCTTTTTTATTCCCATTCCATAGTACTTTTCGTTTTACTACTACTACTACTACTACTACTACTACCACTACTACTGCTTCTACTTCTGATTCTACTACTACTATGCTACTACTACTATACTACTACTACTACTACCACTACTACTACTACTACTACTACCAATATTATAACAACCATTTTTGCTGTTAGTAATATTACTCTTTATTTACTCCCATTCCATAGTACTTTTCGTTTTACTACTACTACTACTACTTCTACTACTACTACTACTACTACTACTACTGCTTCTACTTCTACTGATACTACTACTACTACTACTATTACTGCTACTACTACTACTACTACTACTACTACTACTACCACTATTATGACAACTACTGATACTGCTACTACTGATACTACTACTACTATTACTGCTACTACTACTACTACTACTGCTTCTGCTTCTACTTCTACTGATTCTACTACTACTATGCTACTACTACCATACTACTACTACTACTACTACTACTACTACCACTATTATAACAACTTATTACTACTACTACTACTACTACTACTACTACTACTACTACTACTACTACTACTACTACTACTACTACTACTGATACTGCTACTACTGATACTACTACTACTATTACTGCTACTACTACTACTACTACTACTGCTACAACTACTGCTTCTGCTTCTACTGATTCTACTACTAGTATGCTACTACTACTATACTACTACTACTACTACTACTACTACTACTACTACTACTACTACCACTACTACTACTACTACTACCACTATTATAACAACTATTTTTGCTGTTAGTAATATTACTCTTTATTTAAAACAATCACTCTAATAATCTTGAATGCTTACAATGGCTACCTCTCAAGAGTAATAATTTAATGACCATTTGCATCCATATCTTCAGCAATTAGTTGGACTTTATTTATTTGTGTCATTTCATAATAATTTGATGTAACACTTTAGATATAATACTTTGAAAAAAAATAGGCAAATAAAAAGGGCTATTGTATAGATAACCATGAAAAACATGTTACCTTGTTATAAATTCAATGTGCTTGTACTCAAGCCATCCTTTTATAAAATGGGTTTTTGCACTTATTTGCACTTGATATTTTAAAAAATTTGACAAGGCCAAAAGAAATATTTCCTGTGGCCATGTCATTACAAATTAAAATGTTAACCATGTTATGTGAGATGAAAACAAACAGAAAAAAGGAATAAAATACGAAAATTTGTCAGAAATTGTTTTAAAATCAATTCTATTTTTCTTTAGTCTAGCTAATTGCTAGATTCTCATTTTTAAAATAATTAATGCTGATCTGCTTTTTAAAATTGATGACGAAAATGTAATTTGATATATGAAGAAGATACTATTTGATTATAAATCTTTTTGCTTTTTGGTTTGATCAATTACCTTAATTTTTCTTTACTTAATTTTCAAATTCAAAATTACGGTTTTGTTGCTTAGTTTCTTAGTTTCTTTCTGTATTCAGATGGTATTTTAAAAATGCTATATCTACCTTTTTTTTACACTGGTTTTCCGATGGTTTTTCTTTCACTATTTTTTTATCTAAATCAAGCAAATGTTTTCAGTTAAGTAACTTCTAGGTTCGTTAACTCTCCTGATTTAGGTCTATTGCCTTTTATGAGTTTATTAACCTACTTGTTCATCACACTTGAGTATTGAATAACATGATGATGAAATTGATGATTCACAACACAGATAACAAATTGTTGTTTAAAATAAAACAATATGTGCTTATTAATTTGCCTGTGTGCACTTATATGAGTTTAATATTTTAATAACAAGACTTTATACGCGTAATCACAACAATGTCGTTTTTTGCTATACGGCCTACAAGTTGTGGATTGTATAACGAGACCTCCGGACACACCAGCCTCAAGCCCGAGAAAGGGAAAAAATAAGTCTTGTCACGCTGCAAAGAAGTTGAAAAGGTGTCCCTAATTTCTTAGCAATTAGGGAACAACGGCGTATTGTGGTGTGTGACGGGGCTGTTGGACAGTCTTGGCATATGCCCTCGGTTGATTTCATCGTACACGAAACAACAAACAACAACACACATTTAGACGACATTTTCCCCGAGATCGGGGGTTGCCGTTTGGCTACCTATGATGAAACCGAAATACCCCTCGACGCCATCCACATCTGTCACTCGCCTCAGTATCACGCAACCCCGCTTTCACCCTGTCCTTCTCCACCTGCTCTCTCCATCCCAATCGCAGACGACCCCTTCCTACACGAAACATAGCTTTTAAATGCCTATGATGATGATGATGATGATGACTCACATTGCACATTTATATATTTATTTGTTGTTACTGGCAAACAAGTGTTATAGTCATAATTTGAATTATCTTTATTTGTACAAGAACAAACTGTGGATCATCTCAATATATTACTCTAACCAGTCTTAACATAAATATGTAGTCACCAAGACAAAACCGATTCATCTGATTGATTTTGACCATTTAAGACTATTTGGGCCTAAATTTAAAATTCACCATTTCTTGGATAAGCATAACGTCGTTCATATTTAAAAAAATCATAGATGAATTTTAAATTAGAATATTGTTTCCTTATTCCTTATGTACATTTAATTCTTTTTTCATATTCA